ACCGAGCCACTCCAAGCTCATATACCCCAAGCCACTTCAAGCACCTACACCCCGAGCCACTCCAAGTACATACATACCGAGCCACTCCAAGCACCTACATACCGAGCCACTCCAAGCACCTACGCACCGATCCACTCCAAGCACCTACCGACCGAGCCACTCCAAGCACCTACTGATCGAGCCATTCCAGGCACCTACCGACCAAGCCAGCCCAACAACCTCTACCCACCAAGCCACTCCAAGCACCTACTGACGGAGCCAGTTCAAGCACCTACACCCCGAGCTACTCCAAGCACCACCGACCGAGCCACTCCAAGCACCTACCCGTCGAGCCACTCCAAACACCTACCGACTGAACCACTCCAAGCACCTATTGGCTGGGCCACTCCAAACACCTACCGACCGAGCCCCGCCCGACACCTTAAGCCACTCCAAGCACCTATCGACCGAGCCAATCCAAGCACCTACACCCCAAGCCACTCCAAGCACCTACACCCCGAGCCACTCCAAGCACCTACACACCGAGCCACTCCAAAAACCTACGCACCGAGCCAATCCAAGCACGTACCAACCGAGCCAGTCCAAGCACCTAATGATTGGGCCACTCCAAGCACCTACCAACGAAACCACTCCAACAACTTGTACCAACCAAGCCACTCCAAGCACTTACCGACTAAGCCACTCCAAACACTTTCCCACTGAGCCACTCCAAGCACCTATCGTGACCGACCCAGCCACTCCAAGCACCTACCTGCAAGCCACTCCAAACACCTACCGACTGAACCACTCCAAGAACCTATCGATCGAGCCAATGCAAGCATGTAATGAGCGACCCACGTCAAGCACCTTAGGCCACTCCGAGCACCTATCGACCGAGCCACTCCAAGCATCTATCGAGGCACTCCACGCACCTACCCACCGAGCCACTCCAAGCAACTACCCACCGAGCCACTCCAAGCAGCTACCCACCGAGCCACTCCAAGCACCTACACACTGGGCCACGTCAGACACCTTAAGCCACTCGAAGCACCTATCGACCAAGCCACATGAGACACCTTAAGCCAGTCGAAGCGCC